ATATATGCCTGAGAAACACAAAATATTGGCCCTTTAAATCTGGTGTGGCTGTAGCTGTGATAATTTAAGTAATGCTGTTTTTATCTCCATGCTAGGAATATGTTCATTAAAAACTAAAAAAACATAAATCAAAATATTGCTAATTGAAACACTAATTCAGCTGAAACTTACAGTAACTCTTTAATAAACCATATTATACTCAGTGTGAGAACAAAACAGATTACTTCTACCATCAGCTGACAGTAGAAACCGACTAAAACAATCAGTTCTAATTATTAATCTGCTGCTGGTTTGAGCTGGTCTTCCTAGAACCACATGGGCACACAGAACCTTACTTTTCTTTATTAAATACAGCTCTGCAACTGCACTCCTCAAAGCACCTTGCTGCTTAAGTTATTGCCAAGTATGTGGTAATCAAGTTGCTCTTAAGCATCTAGCTCCTGGAAACACTCTCAACCAGCTAGGTGCTCTGAAAACAGCTCAAGGCGAAGCTGGAATCGTCTCAAACTGTGACTCAGTTCAACTTTGTGAATGCTGCCGAGCTTTATAAATGATGAATAAAAACAGAAATCTGTTGCAAGACCTCCTTATTTTTTAAAAGGATGCACATGTTCACAGCATTGAAGCTGCACATCGTGCRACATAACTGCCAACGAAGGCGCCTGACATTTTGCCTTTTTATTAATAGAAACTTAAAATACTTTCAAATCTGCCCATGTCCTCCATCCATCATGTTTATTAGGGAATATTAAATAGAGCTAACAGACAAAACGGCAACAACTGAGCCGTGAAATATTTTATTGGTGCTTACATCATACGCTGCTAAGAGARTGTAGCAAGTGCCGTTTGTTTCTGGAGCGTGACAGGTTATTGTGGAGCTACTGGAGGCTCTTCACTCGGCAGATTCACTGTTGATCCAAACATTTTAAATGCTCTACTTTGGTTTTCTGGACTTTAAAACTTGAACTGTGCCCTCTCATTACAAACACCACAGGTTAGTTGTTTAAAKGTCAGACAGGAGTTGGACTTTGTGAAATGCCATATTAGTAAAAAAATAAATAAAAAAATGGGAGACTCTGGTGTTTATGTTAGATTAACTCAGCTTTTATCACTCCGGTTGTATTACACCACTTAGTGATRTTACTAATCAATAACCAGTGTGGCTGAGTTGAGTTTATAAATTTAGTTTAAAAATATTTTTAACTGGTTATATTTTGTATATTTCAAGTAACGATACTCATATTTCTCCTCATGCATATCTTGAGATGCTGTGTGTTGTTTTATTTCTGGTAAATTAAAAATACAAGAAAAAGGTTCTCATAAGAAGTTTTTTTTTTTTTTTTACAAAAAATGTTATCCAACCATACAGATGAGAAGCTTTTCTAAGATTATTCCTCTTATGTCAAATAATAAATGTTGGAATTACCTCCTTCCATCCTTTTGCTTATATTTGGTTTGTTTATTCTTCACGTCTTCCAACATTTTATTTTCATTTGCTCTTAATAAACGTGTCACCATCAGTGAACTAGATACTGCACAGCTGTAGCATATATGACCCCTGCACATGCACAAACACCAACGCAGCAGAACTCAGAAGTCATCAGATTGGATTTATTGTTTTGGGTGGGATCAAAAAGAAAAAATAACTAGGTCCTCTGGATGGGTTCTTCTTTAGTGAAACGTTTAGTCTCTCCTCCAAGAGACTTCTTTAGTCTGAGTTTCAGGTGAACTCAGCCTTATAAGCACTGCCTCCGCATGGACAAATAGGTTAGTCACATGCAAAAGAGGGCCATCGCCTAACAATAGGCTTTATTAGCTCTATTTAATCACATGCAAAAGAGGGCCATCGCCTAACAATAGGGTTGATTAGCTCTATTGTTAGATTAGTTCACCCCAAAGATGCAGTTCCCCGGCAAAAACAGAGTAATATAGTATATGCTGTTAAGTGCCAGGAGGACTGTGATCAGTTATACATTGGGGAAACAAAACAGTCACTGTTCAAAAGAATGTCCCAACACAGACGAGCTACTTCGCCGGGTCAGGACTCTGCAGTTTACGCTCATCTACAGGCCAGGACTCTGCAGTTTACACTCATCTACAGGCCAGGACTCTGCAGTTTACACTCATCTAC